TGTAACTAATTCTCCTGAATTCATTCGAAGCATTTCGAAGTCCGAATGAAGTGCTTGAAGTTGCTGCCTCTTAGCCCTTGCTGTACCTTAGTACTTCTTCTTCATGGAATCCCAAATATGCTTGGTGGTGTCCTTGCAAAGAATGGTTTCCAAGATTGAGCGATCAATAGCTTGGAAGAAATAATTCTTTGCTTTAAGATCCTTTAACTTCAGCCATTCAAGCTCTGTCTTTTGCGCATCTGTTAGCACAACACCTCCTGCTAGTTCTCTACTCCAGAAACAACAACCGTCCAATATTCTTTGGACCTCAAGAAGTTCTCCATGAGCATGCTCCAATGGTCATAGTGACCATCAAAGCGTGGAATGGCTGGCTGTACAAAACTTTCAGAAGTCATCAATTTTCTTTTTACTCTCCTCGGAACCTGAAACCAAGCTCTGATACTACTGATACAAACAAGAGACTAATAAAATTTCAGAATAACAATAAGAAATAGAGGATGTATATAAAGCAAAAGGATAAACTGTTTTTTCAACTTTTATTGATAAAGAAACAACCTATAAATAGGCTAATACATAACTGATAGCAACATGAAAATAGACACTATCCATAACTGAAAGTAACATGAACATAGGCACTATCCCACGTTAACAACAAACTCCTATGACTAGACAAACACTTAAACAACAAAATATTAAATTTCCTCAACAACTACTGTGTTGTTTTGGATATATATATATTTTTTGATAATCTGAACCATTAATAATATAGAGTTCGTTAAGAATATTATTCCAGAAAAAATTAGGTTAATCGGATATTCATAACCTTATGATTAGTTCCTAATTTTTTTAAAAAATTTATGAAAGTTATATTAACCGTTAATTTTTATAAAAACAAATGTACTTTGGTTATAGAGTTACAGATATTCATTCAATTTGATTTTTTTGTATAGATAATCTACTTGACAAACCTTATAATATAAACAGTTCAAATCATCGAAAAACACTCGGGACGACCTTCTACAAAGAACACACACAACATAATCCTCGTTTCTAATAACAAGTAGCTAATTTGTATGATATGAATTATTTTTTTTTATAGAAAAAATTGTAAATAAGTGGAACAGTCATATAATAATTACATTATAGATGAATATATATATATATATATATATTTTATGCGACTCTAGAACACAAGAAAAAACATACACCATACATATACGAGACTTACTGGTGGTTTGAGATGTTATAAATAAATATATTTTTTGATTTTTTATTAAAAAAAATGTGTAGAAAAGTAGAGAAAGTGAGTAGAAAAATAGAGAAAAGATGATAGATATTGATGGATGATTGATGTGACTCAAATAAATATATATATACAAAAAAAAATTATACTTTTTTAATACATGCCAAACACCTACTTACATTATCATAAAAATAAAATTAATTCTCTACTGTTGCACTGAAGTTATGTTTTTTTTTTGCCTGAGAGCTTTCGCTCTCTACTCTTCTATCTACTCCTGTCTATAGTATGCCTGAGTTACATTGCATTATTTGAGTGCATTTAATGTGGAAAATTTACTACATTGGGACCTACCTTTTAATTGTATGCAGAAAAATTCACTACCGACATTTATAGTATGCTAAAAATTTCAGGCTTACCAATCATTCATTATACTTCACTCGTCTTCTTCACAAGGAATCCAATGATATACACACCCCCATACATTTGCACCAGTTACATAATCATGCTTTATTGTTACTCAATAGATAAATTACATCTACATTTTTTATAGTTGAGAAAAATACTATATAAATCTCATAATTTGTGTTATGTACCTTCTCGTTAACTAAAAAATAAAATAAAAAAAAATTATATTGACTTGTCCTTAAGTATAGAGAAATACGAGTAATTCTACCATTTTAAGATAATTATTTTGATATCCCCTCTAATAAGACTAAAACGACTGAAACTAATACAAATAGTATAAAATCACATTGATAAATAAAAAATAATATACATTTCAATATAAAAATATGACATCATTATTTTACCATGTATTTGACTAATGAAATATTGATGAAAATGAGGTAAATTGTCATGTAAATTAAAACTTTAAGAATGTCCGATTTAATTATATTAAGGCTATGTTTGGCATAAAGTTTTGGGTTGCGTTGTGTTGGGTTGTGCTGGGTTGGGTTGGGCCTATTTTAGTCACAAAAAAGACAAAATAGGTTTTGTAACCCAATAAGATAAAATGTCACATTTAGAGGTAGTTTGGGATGATCTAAATAAGTGCACTTTTTGACTTTTTATGAAATATAGGTTGGGTATGGTTGGGTTTGAAGTGATGTGACTTAAATAAGATGATATGATATGACTTAAATAGGATAGTGACTTTTTGACTTTTTTTAGTTACGACAAACAAGGCCTTAAACTATAATCATTTAATTTTTTCTCTGACAAAAGTAAAAAAAGTTAAAAAGTCTATCCCAAACAAGACTTTTTAGCCCTATAAACTAAAAAAATTAAAAAGTCAAAAAGCCAAAAAAATTAGCCCACGTCTCAAACGAAAGCTAAAACTGTGAAATTTGCTGATTTATCCAGAATAAAAATAAAAGAAAGAGAAAAAATTCACTTCAAGGGGAGAAGACGTCCAATTGATTTATATATTGAAGAGAACTAGACACCTACAATTTTCAATGGAGGACTTCTGAAATAGACAACATCCTTTTTCATTCATTAATGTTGTTTTATACAAGAAATAGTTACCTAATCAATTATCCATGGATTCCATGTCATGTGAAATAAATAATTATCTAGTCTCACCACCCATCACTTCTACCAATATTAATAACTAAAAGATACATAATTTTTTAGAAAAAAATCAAAATATAACACATAATTATAATGACTTCTTTTTTTAGTAAAATAAAATAAGCTTAACCAATGTATACAATATAGAGACACATTCATTATAATCTAGAATAAAATATATATTTCAGTATAAAAAAATGAAAATATTATTTTATATTCATATTAGTAACAATATGTGAATGAAAAAATAGATCCGGTCAACAAAATGTTTATAATCCCAATATACTTTCTATGCCTCCGTTTGGCAAGTTGGTTTATGGGTTTTTTTTGGTTATTTTAGTCACAAAAGATAAAATAGACTATTTTAGTCACAACGAACAAAACATCACATCCAACTCATAATCATTACACTCTTCTCTCAAAAAAAAAAAAAAATCAAAAAAGCCAAAAAAACCTTTTCCAAAAATTCAAAAAGCCAACCCACTTCCCAAAATATATCTTAAAATATTTTTACACAATTTAATATATATATTTTTACATATTTTAGCCACAGCGAACAAAACATCACATCTAACTCATAATCATTACACTCTTCTCTCAAAAAAAAATTAAAAAAGCCAAAAAACCTTTTTCAAAAATTCAAAAAGCCAACCCATTTCCCAAAATATATCTTAAAATATTTTTACACAATTTAATAAATATTTTTTTACATATTTTATCGATACTAACAATAACTTTAATGACTGTATTCAGCTTTTTTTTTTTTTTTTTTCTTTTTTTTTTATTTTTTTTTTTTTTTATTTATACAAATCACATGTACACTTTAGGAAGGTGGACAAAGATTTGATAGCCAACATATCATGGGTAAGTTTAAGTTTAATTGGATTGGGATCCTTTGGAAATTGCAATGACAAAGGCATCTTATGGCTCTGTCACTTTTTAACATTTGTCATCCTTTATCATGACAAATATATCAACAAATTTGCATCACTAAGCAATAATTGATCTCTTAAAACTTATTACTGAAGTCTCACAAGTGTGAAAATTTTGGAGAATTTCTCTAATAATTGGTGTTAAAATCACAATCTTCAAATCAAATTTTGTCTTCTTATATATTTTAAGAGAAATTACATATCAGTGTATTTCTAAAAAATTAACAACATATCAATGATAAATTTTATCAATATTAATAATAAAAATCATAAATTTGTCAATAAATCTGTAATTATTTGTTTAAAAGTATACCGAATAATATATTTTTAAAATATTTTTTTTTACTAAGAGTTTGTATGAAAAGTGATTTTTTAATATTTTTTTAATTTTTTGGCTAAAATATGAGATGAAAAAAATTAAAATATTTGAGGATAATTTTCTGTCTTTTTACAGAATAATGTGAAAAATAAAAATAATCTTTTCCTTTTTTTTAATAATATATATATTAATTTTTTAATAACTTTTTAACTAATTTAACCTATTGTTAAATGACTTTTAAGTTAAACCTTGAGGGTGTCTCTTGAATAATTATGGGTGCACTCCCCACATAATTATTCAAGTTTCAATTCTTGAAATCAGGACGTGATGTAGTAATTTTTATTAAGGAATTGTTTGAAATAATCTAAATAAATGTACTTTTATTTTTTTACAAAAAAAATATACAGAAAAATAGAAAGATGATATAATAAAAAAAAAGATAAAAAGACGAATTATTAAAAGGACGCCAAACCACCCCTAAATTTCCTAATCCGGCCTGCTAAAGAAAATGCTTAAAAACAAGCATTAACTTGTGATACTTATTGACAATTCTTAAAGATGTCATTGACAATATATATATTTTTAAGTTACTTTTTAATTGTTAATGAGACGTCTTTTGTAAGAAATAATGAATAATTACACAAATTTGACCCTACACACAAGCAGTCCTCTTCACGGGCCGGCTTTTGTCACTTCCATTAATGGTAGTAATAAACACATCACCAAAGCTATCCCTTTATCTATGGATCATGGAGGAGCCTCTTCCTCTGCCTCTCTACAATGAATTTATGTCATTCACTTTCACACCACACCACACACACTCTCTTTCTCCATACATAATATGTATATATAAGTTATAACTTGAGTGAGACAAAAGAGAGACGAGTTCAAGTATGGGTGGTATCCAAAGCAAGGAGGACAAGAACAAGAACAACAACCCATGTGAGAAACACATTGTGAAAGGCTTAAGAGAGAAAGTGAGGCTTCTTGAAAAGGAAGTGAATGAAGTAAAGTCCATGAGAGAGAATGAGAGCCAAGCTTATGAGAAAGAGATGGTGGTTCATGCATTTAAGGAGGCAGAGTGGAAGAGAGAGAGGAAGAGGTTGAGGGAGCAGGTGAAGAAGCTGAGGAAGAAGTTGGAGGAGAGAGAAGAAGAAGAAGAAGAAGAAGAAGAAGAAGAAGAAGAAGAAGAAGAAGAGGAGGAGATAAGGGTTAGATTAGGAGGAGGAATGGGAGATGATGGTGGTAGGGTGGTGGTGTTGGGAGGAGAGAGAGCTGAGAAAGATCACTACTACTTGGATTGGCTGCCGCCGCCGCCACCACCACCGTTGGTGGCCGCGGGGACGGCGGCAAGTTACTTCGTGGAGAAAATGAGGGAGGAGAGAGCAAGTAGAGATGAGGCGGTGGAGAAGTGGAAGAAGCTATACCTTGCCATCAAGATTGAGCTTGACGACCTTATTCAAAGGACACACCAAGGTACAAAAAAACCTCTCTCTCTCCCTCTCTCATTTTTAATTTTTTTTTTTTCCACTATCATCACCATTGAATTGTCATTTCTTTTATTTTTATTGAAATCAATCGCAAACTGACACAATCTTCAATTGAGACTCATATCATGTGAAATGATTGTGTTTGAATAATTATCAAACAAAATGATTCAATGAAGTGCCAAACTTCGATAACAGTATAAATGGAACCACTAGAGGGGCGACTCTGCTGTAAACTCAAATGATTTAGGTTTGACTTTTGTTATTGTTGTTTCTCATTTATAATTTACGAGTGATTGTATAAGTTTTTTCATGATGTTCTAGGTCCACATGGAGCTGTAGTTGCAAATTGCAAAGAGCACATGTCATGCTATTAACATGGTTACAAAAATCTAGAATAATTCCAAAGTTCATGGAATGTAACCCGAAAAAGTGTGTTTGGTTTGAATTTTTTGGATTAAATTTTTTGAAAATTGACTTTTTTGATTTTTATGTTTTTTTATTTTTAGTGAATATTTTTTAAATTTTAAACATTTTTTTTTTACTTTTTTAGATGCATCTTACTTAAATCTATCTAAAAAGTAAAAAATTTGTGAAAAAATATTTTAAAAAATTAATAAATACATAAAAATATAAAAAATGTACTGAATTCTTATATTTTTTTTTTGTATTTTTGGTCTTTAATGATTTTTTGGTCTTTAGTGAATTTTTAAAAGATTTTTTTTTATAATTTTTTTACTTTTTAGGTGTATTTATGTTAGGTGTGTCTAAAAAGTAAAAAAATTGTTTAAAATATTAAAAAAATTTAGTAAAAACAAAAAAACGCGAAAAATAAAAAAATAGAATTTTCTGAAAAGTGTTTTGAAAAACTGGAAACCAAGCAAAGTGAATATATCTTGAGAAAGTTGCTCATTATTAAAAGGAAAAAAGGGGAATATTTTTACTTATATAAAGAATAATTGTAATATCAAATGATAATAGGACTAATAGTTTGAAACTTTGAGGAAGAGACGGGTAATTATTTAATAATTTTGGAGTATGGACACGTAATATTTTATAATATTATGATTGGTGGGGAAGGCAGGTAGAGGGTATTGTGTTGGGTGATTGGAAAACCTAACCAATATATTGAATGATAATTGGTTAGAGAGTACAAACATATATAGTATTTTGGAAATATTGAATAATTTCCGAAAAGAGACTAAGGAAGTTGAAACTAGTCTACGTTTTATGTAGTTTCATCACTTAGATCAAGCGCCTTGCTGCACATATAATTACTTTTCTCCATAACTTTCGTTCTTTGGATAGAGTGTTCAAGCTAGAGGTGACAAACGGATAGGTTGGGACGGGTTAATGGGTTATGCATGTCAATAATTTATTTTGAATTCGTCTATTTAATAAACAGATTTAGTTGAATTGGGTATGAATTAGAAAAATAATCTGTTTTACTTTATTGAACTATTTTTTCAAATAGGTGGCGGCCGTGGTGGTGATGGATTCTTACTTTTTTGCTTGTTTTTTATCCAAACCCAGTTGGTGCTCATGTCTAACCGATTTAAGTTTGCAAGATGTAATCCATTTAAAACCCAATTATGAATTTGGATGGGTTTGTATAGGTTTCAAACAGATGAAATTGAGGGGTTTCATGGTTTTGGGTTAAATTTGTTACCTCTAGTTCATACCCTAATGCGAATAGAGATTAAGATTTAGTCTAATGGATAAAATACACTCTTACAAGGGGTTGCGCTCAAATTCAAGTCTCACCTTTCACTATTTTCCCTTCGCTTAAAATACAAGAAAAAGAAAAAGAAGAAAAGACTATACACTTTCAAATTCATCAAGGACAAGACATTACATTATCTGATATTTAGAGCTCAGTAAGTATATTAGATAAGATAAAAATTAGAATAGCATAAAGTTTGTATTACTCTGAATTTTACAAGCAGGGATAATATAATTTTCTTTTCTTTTCTTCTTTTTTTCTTTTTTTATTATAAAATCTGAAGCAGAGAGATATGAAACTCATGAACTAGAAATAGCAGCAGAGCATTTGTAAGGGCTGTTTGTTTGTTTATTTTGGTTGAAAACTTAAATAAAAAATTATTTGATAATGCTTTTTAGAGTTTAGATATTTTTTTAGTGATATAAAATAGAAGATTGATTACCAAACTGACCGTTGGCATGAATCCGACCAATTAAAGCTCGACACAATTAGTCATTTCAAGCCAAGTACTTGACACAATCAGTCGGATTCATGCCAACTATCAACTTGAAATAGTATGCCATGAACAGGATGGTAAATTATTAAGACAACCTATGTTATATGAATTTAAGTAGAAGTATCGGGTAAGTGTGAGTATCTAAGCGTGAGATATTCCTAAACATAAATTTTAAAATATTGGAATAAGCATTTCAAAGTTGAGTATGGGTAGGAGGATACATCTCAAACATAAATATTGCATAAGATGTAAATTATTTAGAAATCTTCTCCAAATTAAATGGAATTTAAGGAAAATATAAAATTTATGTCTCTCATTTGTATGTGAAGTTAGAAAATTTTCTTTACCAACAAATGTGAGTACCTTCTTCAATCATTGTATTAAAGTAGAGGATTTAAATGTCTAAATTAGGTATGGATGTCGGACACAGATCTCATAGTGTCCTTATCATATTTTGTTGATACGAATTTACATAAAAAAATAAAAGAGTCGATATAACACAAAAGAAGACGATGCCCTTTATAAGTCATGCCAAGTTTCTAAGTAATCAGTACAAGAGAAATGGGATATCAAATCAACGCTTTATGTTTAGGGTAGTACAGCTTTATAAGTGGGGGGGACTAAAATGCTCACTTTGTTGCATATATTCTGCTTTTTTCGACTCCCACTCTCCCCATAAAAGGTTGAAAATCAAAACAAAAGAAGAATAGTTTGATAGGACTCTCCAATCAGTCTCCCTACAATTATTTCTAGTGGCAGAAACAAAGTTAGTACATTCTTTGTCTTTGGCTTCATTTCCAATTATTGTGAACATGAATTCTTTGATCATTTCGATTCTATAATTGAACTAATGTTATTAAATTGGGTGTACTTTTTTTTGTTGTTTGTATTTTATTATGTTTTGTAGGAGAAAGATTGTATTGGAGAGAGGAAGAAGAAGATTTAATGGAGAAATTACAGCGAGAATTGAAAATCAAGGAAGAAACTATTGAGCTTCTGAAAGCACGATTAGCGTTGATGGAGCAAGAAGAATCCAATAGGGAGCGAGAGGTGGACATTCTAAGGCAGAGTTTGAAAATCATGAGCTACAAGAAGAAATCGACAGTGTTTTGCCAAGAGCCTCCCAAGAAGCTTGCTTTTGTAAAACGCGCACATATGCGAGGAATTTAATATGCTTGGTACATTGTAAATTACTAATATAAATTAAACATAATTCTGTATGCTTAACATTTTCCTATAAATAATATAATGCAATATAGAATCTGCTTGTAAGGCTCGAACAAAATTTACTGTCTGCTTTGATACTATTTAGATTATTGACTACTAAATCAATCTAAAAACGCTAAAAACAATAGGAGCAAAATGATCAAACATTGTCACCAGATAATAAGGGACAGGGCAGTGGCATTAGATGTAGAAACATATCTAAAAATGAGCAAATACTGTTGAATATTTGCAGTAAATTTGCAGTGTTGTTGAGCTTTTTATTACATACTATTGGACTTCTGTTAATGAAAATCACATATCATTGAACAATTTCACCATCTACCCATTAGGCAGAATCAAAATTCTAATAAAACCCTAAAAACCAAAATTAATATGACATCACTTCACTCTAGCAATCTCTGCAACATTGCTAAAGCTAATAATAGCCTTTATTACATCTGATTATAAGAGTTTTCTTATAATAGAAATCTCACAATCATCATTAAATAACTTTCTTCACTTGCACCCATTATATATATCACTTATGGGTTGGAAGGTAAACCCCTACCAAAACCTAAAATGGAAAGCTCACACACCATGTTTGATTTGAGAGATGGGATGGTATTTGTTTTCACTTCTTTTCATGTTCATTGATTCCAAGTGTGTTCTTCATACCATCTATAGCACCTTGGGCCATGTTCACCATTTTCTCTCCAGTCTGTAAGATATAACAAATTTGCATTGTGAATCTTCTAATCAAAAAGCATAATCAACATGAAGTAAGTAGACATATGAACACATTAAAAAAAAGAAGAAGAAAAGACATTGTTTGATTCACTGGAATGATTTTGGGTATGAAACAATAATTATTTTTTGGCCTTCCAAAGAAATGGCCATTTTCCTAAATTAGTGAACGGTGATTTCTTTCTTTTTTAGCAAACCAACATGGAAATAAGTATTCTAAAGAAATGATCATCTCATTACATTGCCAAAAGGGGCATGGATTGGAAATAGGAAATCTAAAGAACACTTTGGACTTGTGAATACCAGGCAATAAAAAAGTTTCCAATGCTGTTTTGACAACGTAACATTCTGTGTGGAAGTTCAACTTTGCTACAGATTCTAGCTAAATTATAGAAAATATTACCAGTCATTACCAATGGTTGATAATATTTTCTATATTTAAGTCGGAAACTATATCTTTTCTAGCATAAGTTCGTGCGGAATTCTATCTCTATCATTCTTCTAGTCTAAAAGTACTTTCATTCACATCCCTCAATATCAAAGGTGGATTGAACCAAATGTGAATTTGATTCACTCTATTCTCATTAATGAATCAATCAGATAGAGGGGAAAAAAAAAAAAAAAAGAAAGAAAGTTAAGTGGGATAATTACAAATAAATTTAAAAGTTAAAAAATAATGGAATGTTAAAAGGAGTAGAAGAAAGAAAGTGGACCAATTTAGTAAATATACTGGAATGTTGAAGGAGTACAGAAAGAAATTATAGGAGAGTAGAATAATTATGTAGTAGAAACAGATCACATGCAAGATTATTTCAAAAAGAATAGAGAACGAAGGAACTCGAAAGATAATTAGAATCATCTTCTTCCAGAGGAATCATGTAAGAAACGAGTCATTTTAAATGTATTCAAATAAAAAGCTAACATAGATATTATGGATAGATTTTTTTTTTTTTGGTTCATATCTTAGATCTAAGAATTTATCCATCTTCCATGAAGGAGTCAAATGATTTCACATGATAACAATTTAAAAGAGAAGAGTAAAATAATTATTTGATTAGGGATACCTTACGTATGCAAAAAAAAAAAAAAAAAAACACTAAGTTTCAAAAAGTTATGTCCTTTATATCGGAGTTATTTGGAATGATCTAAATAAGTTTACTTTTTGCCTTAATCCGAAAAGATACACAAAAATAGAGAGGTGAAAAGTGCACTTATTTAGTTTGTGCCAAATAGTATCATAATAATACATGGCTGATGGGCTAGAACAGAACCTGTTGAAGGAATCCTGCACTCTCTTCCTTCCCATGTTGGGCCGATTCCTTAGAATCTGCCATCTTGTCACAGGTTTTGTTTGCTGCATTTTGGGCAGATTGAACCCACTCCTCCGTCTTGGCCTGCCCACAATACATGAACAATTTACAATAATTTCAACAACACAAGGGTAAAATGGTCATAAGAAAATGTATAAACCAACTAATTAGTGACTATTACCTGAGCCTGACCATGAGTTTGGCCTGCATTGAGCTGAGCACTTGACATTGTTTCTTCAAAAATTTATAAATATGGGGCTCTGTATAAATATATTTGTTTGCTTGTTTTTCTAATTTCAAATTGTTATGCAAAACTTGTGATCTAATTGAATATACTAGTGAGTTTGGCCTATTTATAAATAGTGTCTATGAGTGTATATATAGAATAGTGAGATGTGGTGATGAGAAGTTAACCACTTTGTGGACACCAATGGATTGGGATGAAGATGTTGAGCATGAATTGCTAATTTTGACTTGGTTTTGGCCCACTCAATTGCGAGGAATAAGTATCTCCGATCATTATAATATAGAATCAAATGTTTATCTCCTTATATTGCGTGTTTATTTTTTAAAATTTTAATTTGATCGGTTTGTTTATATTATTTTAATTTTAGTGAAATTAGTCATCTTAATAAATTATTTAAATGATTAACAAAATGATGATAAAATATATGTCCCGTTATTGAAGCATACATCGTGTCACTTCTTTTTGAACAATAAGAGAAAATCTAACATGGTGGAAGTCCTACAGCAAGCATGTAAGATGTGCAAAGAATCAGATTCAACAATCCAAATTATTCTACTTTGCATTGTGTTGTGTGTTACTTTTGGTTTATCTTTTTTAAGTTTCAATTTGATCTAAATGTAGAAAATCCAAAAATATATCCCTACAATTTTTAAGAATAAAATTGATCTTTTAAAAATTAAAATGATATAATGCTTTTTAGTGACTATGAAAGTATATTGTATTATAATAATACTATGATAACTACTTTATCAAAAATAAATTACTTTATCAAAAGTAAATTAGTTTTTTTTTTGTTACCATTATTATGGTCTTGAAACTTAATCTAAATGAAGAAAACCCAAAAATATATCCCTACAATTTTTAAGAATAAAATTGATCTTTTAAAAAATAAATGATATAATGCTTAGGCCTCGTTTGGCAAGTGATTTTTTTAGTCAAAAAGTCAAAAAGTCACTAAAAAAAATCAAAAAATTAACAACCTATTTTCAAAAGTCAAAAATTCTCTTTTCTCTCTACTTTTTGCACATCTTTTCGTAAAAAGTCAAAAAGTCATCCCAAATATATTAATTTTTTTAGCTCATATTTTAGCCAAATAGTCAACAAATTACTAAATTAGTCTGTTCACAAACGAGGCCTTAGTGACTATAAAAGTATATTGTATTATAATAATACTATGATAACTACTTTATCGAAAGTAAATTAGGTGTTTTTTTTTTTTTTTTTTTTTCCCGTTTCTGGTCTGTTACCGTTATTATTGTCTATTGAGGAGCCAATTCTTCTCCAGTTTACAAAGTGAACTGAATGTTGTTTGGACTTGTAGGACTTATCAAGAGTATTGTTTTAATGATCTGAATAGTTCATTTTGTCAGACACTTCGTGTATTTTATTAAAAAAAAAAAAAGAGAAAAGGATCTATCTAATAAAAATATCCTATTCAATTTATTGCATTTATCACAAAAATATGTAAAAAGACACCAATTGTGTTTTGAAAAATACACAATTCATTTTTTTTTTTTTTGTGACAAATGCGATAAATTGAATATGTTACTATTATCGGATTGATTTAATTTTTTATTTTGATAAAATACACAAAGTATCCGATAAAATAAATAATTTAAATTATTAAAACAGAACAATGGTGGTCCACGAGCCCAAACAGTGAAATCGTTCTCTTTTAAAACATGGATAGATGTTATATAACTGTTGGCTATATATTTTGTATGATCTAATCACTGTTTAACATGTGGCATGAAAAAGGATAATTTGGGGAGTTAATACAAGTCTCCAACCAACGACAGACACGTGTGTAGACACTCCATTTTTGACCGACCTTAAGACTCAGACGTCACCGATTGAGCGCTTGGTGATGTCGCATATTGTCCTCGTTCAGAAGTTTCAGAGTCCCGGCTGCAAGCCTTGTCTCCGGACTTCCGGACTCTTTTGTACCTTGCCTCGATTTGCGAATCAGGTCCCGTTTTCTCCGTTTTCTCTTCCCGAAGGGAGGGAAAAGTCTCGTAGATCATCTCTCAGTGGCCGTAGGCTACGTTTCGTGGTCGTAGGCCATTTTTTCTCGTTTGGAGCCCGATTTCCAGTTTTTCGGAGCCGTCGGCCGTGTGCCTCGGTTCGGGACCGCTTAACCACCTCCGTTTGCTCCGGTTTTTAGCATACACCTTATTTCCTCCCTTTTGAGGGACACTGTGGTCCGAGAGACCAACTTCGTGGTCGAACGCCACTTTCGGTGCCTAACAGCCTGTTTTCGGGGCCCCGAACTGCGTGTTTCGGCCCCCGAACCTCCGTTTTGCATCCGTCTTGGTTCATTTTTGGTGGAGACCTTATTTTCATTGTTAGAAAGGTTGTAGGAGAGTGGGAGGCCAGCATTTTTTCTGAAAAACCAGCTTTTTTTGGTCAAAAGTGATTCAGCATGAATCCGGGAAGGAGGAAAACATCTGCGCGGCTTCACCAAAACGGGCATAACTCTTTGCACAGGAGGAATTAAGATATGGGGCCACCACCATTGGAAAGCTTACTTCCGGGGCTTCATTTTTCACTCAAGAATCTCCTAGAGCCAAGTCCGGACGGGGGAGATATGGTTGGTTGAAATAGGGGATCAACCCGGTCGGACCAAATCTGCGCGGCTTCACGGAAACTGGCATAACTTTTTCCAGAGGAGGAATTTTGATGCAAGGTTTATGGCATTGGAAAGCTAACTTCAAGGGATACATGGCCGACCAGTTTTAGGGCTTGACCCTTTTGACCCCTGGTCGGCCGGCCACTTATACTGGTCGGCCTACCACTTGCCTGGTCGGTTGACCACTTTGGCCCTTTTGAGCTGGCCGGCCATTCTTGCCCATGTGAGTGTATTCTAGCTGTGCCAGCTATTTTCCACTGGATCCACTGTCCGAGATTTTGCCTCTTGTTTTGGTCCATTCAAATTGGTTTTTCCCCCCCTTTTTGATTTCAAAATAAGCTTAGCCTCTCTTCCTCTATATAACACACACTCCACCTCCATTGTTAAGGGTTAGAAGCTTTTGGGCTGGAATTATACATATATCTCCATATATCTCTCTCTTTTGGTGCTAAAAGTCCATATTTCTTGCATATTTGCACTACAACCCATAGCACAACACCTCCACTACTCATTCCAGCACCTTGGAGGCCATTTGCAAAGGTTAAAAGCTTAAAAATTTGGATCAAAAGCTACTGGAAAGCTTCTCTTCAAGGGTGAGTCCCTATTTCCCCTTTTCTTGCCTTATTTTGCATGATTGGTTAGCCTTATTTGCAAGTATTTTTGGGCTCCAACCTGAACTGTAAATAGTCATATTTTGATCTCCTCTTCATGTTTGATCAAGGACTTTTTGCTGTTTGAGGTCTTCTCCTCACCCTTTGTGTTTAATCTCTCTATTAGGCCCATTTTTGCATGGTATTTTAGTCTTATTTGTGAGATGTTTTGGACTTGGTCATAAACTGTAAAATGTCTTGTTTTAAGCCCATCTTAAACTTTGTTGAAGGGCTCTCCTCTTTTTGAGGCCAGTTGCTACCACTTGTCTCTTTATCCCTCTTTTAGGCCTTTTTCTTGCATATTGTTTTAGCCTCACTTGTGTCTATTTTCGAGACTTGATATAAATTGTGAAGTGCCTTGTTTTGAGCCCCTCTTAAACTTTGTTGAAGGGCTCTTTGATATTTGGGGCCAGCTTCTGTCCCTTGTCTCTAAACTCTCTTTTAGGGCCATTTTTGCATAATAGATTAGCCCTATTTGTGTTCACTTTTGAGATTTGTTATAAATTGGAAAAAGTCTCATTTTGACATCATCTTCATGTTTGATTAGGGGCATTTTCTTGTTTGAGGTCATATGCTTCCTTGTATGCTCGATTGTCCCTTATTTTGAGTCTTACACCTAAGCTCTCGTTGCATGCTTGGTTTGGCCTTCTAGCCACTAAAATCCAGTGGATTTTCAGTGGATAACACACTATTTTGAGCCTCCAAATCAGAGGGGGGTGACCCCCTCTCACCTTGACTTGTTTGATGGTCTTTTTGGCCTTCCAAAGAGACCCTATCTTGCATGTTTCCTAGCCACATTTCAAGGTCAATTTGGTAATTTTTGGAGCTATAATATTTGATTTTCAGAGTTGTTGGTGCCATGCTAAGTGCCCATCCTGTGTGTGCCTAAGAATCCCTTGCATAGCTCTCCAAAGGAGCTCATCATTTTTGCATGTATTGGTTGCATCTCCATGGTTATTTGGGCATATTTTCACATGTTTTATTCACTTATTTTTGCTGATTTGGTAATATTCCATGTGCATCCTATACTTTCCATATAACTCATGTTTGCTAGCCAATCTTGCATGCTATTTTAGTCCACTATGCTAGCATCTTTTGGCCATGCTTTAAACTGGAAATGTTCATGTTTTGGGACTGCCTTGGCTCTGTCTTTATACTTCATGATCAAATAATGCATGCTTTGTATAGCTATAAGTCATTCCATGTGCCTAGTTTCGAGTTTCGGGGTTCATCTCATGCATCGGGTGCCATTTTTTCATGTTTCGGGGTTGTTTAGCATCATATTTCAGTGCTGGAATTTGTGAGTTTGTATGCCATCTTGCATCCCTTGCCATGTCTTGTTAGAGTTGCATGTTATGCCTAGGATCGGTCCTCGATTTGCGTACATACGTGCACGCATTTCGATAGTCCCATTTTCGCCTAATGGCTACTGATGTGAGTGTGGATGAGGTCCACTCATGTTGGTGTAAGTCCATCATGCATTGTGTATGCCATTTCATTTCATAGCATTGTGTATGCTAGGTTGTATGTTAGAGCATTGTGTATGCCATGTTACCTCGTGCATCGTGTATGCCATTTCATAGCATTGTGCATGCTAGGTTGTATATTAGTTACATATATTAGTTACATTCATGCATGTCATGCATTTGGGATAGGAGTTAGCCCGAGCACGGGAAACAAGGTACGTTTTGTACTCCGAGTGACGGAACGTGTCTCAATTTTGTGTTAAAATAAAGTTCCAGAACCAAACGCAACACGTGTCTGTTAGAACCATTTGATGAGAGCCTACCTGAAGGACCTCAGACCATAGC